CCTAGCCCCAGGCAAAAACATTTAATTATTGCAGGTGATGCTCAGTCGCCGTTTCTCCGATCACAGTGAGAGTTGCCAAATATATTTTAGAGAATTAACAACCAAATACTGGCAAGTTTTTGAGCTTTAATTATAATTTCCCTTGTACACTGATTATTCTATCTGTTCTTCTATAATATAATTTTTCATGCTGATCTTTGGAGACTTACTTCCCGCCTAACAGCATGAGAAGTACCCGTGAGTATAGCAAATGAAACTGGCTGGCGAAACATTATGAACATAATGATTGCTATCTACGCGTTTTGGCTGGAAGTAAAACCTAAATTCAATATAAATAAAAGTACATTCTGTCATTCTTCTATTCTTAACAGTGTTTTAAATTCAAAACAAACAAAGTACATTCTGTTATTCTTCTATTCTTAACAGAGCTTTCAAAAAAACATGAGTAAATAAACGAAGTTCACCCTCCTAATAATCCTGACTTCATTCAATACTAAGGACACTGCCAAGTGGGACGAGGAAATCGGGTCTCTAAAGATTTCTTGTAAAACAAGGGCTTATGGTTAAATAATTGCTCGTAAGTTTGACTATCAAACAACTACAGTACTGTATCTTCAATGCAAGGCTTCAGACTATGACAAGGAGGGGCAGGAAAACTGGGTTAAAACATATTTGCAAAGCTTTCTTTGAAGCTAGAGCTTCATAAAAATAAAAAAAAAACTTCCTCATTCGATGCATGGCTTCAAAGTGTGCCATGACCGACGAGAAAACCTCGAGTACCATTATTTTTCTCCTAAAATTAACATATAAAAACTAGAGCGCTCTAAAATAATAGCAACTGCAAAGAAAAGTAAAGAAACGCAAGAGCCTCAAATAATAAATTAAAAACTCCCCTTGTAGCTTAACTATCCGACATATCATCAGGGAACTTTCTCATTCAATGCATGACTTCAGAGAGTGCCATGGGCGACGAGAAAACCTTGTGTACCATTATTTTTCTCCTGAATTTACATATCAAAAACTAGAGCGCTCTAAAATAATAGCAACTACAAAGAAAACTAAAGAAACCCAGGGGCGCTTGAAAACATTTCAAGAGGAAGACAAAAAAAGCGAAACAAGAGGCCAGACGCCTAAAAA